TCTGCCCCTCCCCTGCTCACGCTGTCTCTCTCTCTCTCTCTCAGAAATAAAACATTAAAAAAAAAAAAAAAATAACCCAAGTATTCACATACACACACACAAAAAAAACACTTGGCGGAAAAGAGAGCTTTAGTTTTATGATTAGGATGACAAGGCTGCAATCACTTACGTAGGGAAATCTATGCACAACTCCCCCTCTGAGCCTTGAAAGCCCTCCAAGCCCTCCAAGGTGGCAAGGGCCCTCTTACTTCCTTGTGTCTCCCATGAGCGTAAAATGGGTATTTGATCACTTTCTAGGCTCCTTAAGGAATCACAACTTAGTCATCTTGGTGACAACCCTTCAAGTGCCTCGTCGAGCATCCTGTGTTCTGCAGGCAGGCAAACGTTTGTTCCTTAACTGCTGTATATCTAAGCAAAACCAGATTCCTGGCTCCAAACATTCCATTCTAATTCTGCTAACTCACCCCAAAAGGTTATCAAATCTCTTTTTCATTCCTTTCTTTTTCAACCAGAAAGACAATACTATTTTAACACTTTAAGCCATTTTCCTCCCCAGTAAACAAAAGCAAGCAAAACTAAGGCTTAAAAATCTGTCCTCTCCATTTCCCTAACCCGCATGATAGATTTTAACTGCTGTCTTTTCATGGAGTACATTTCCAGAAAAGGTGAAAAATAAGCAAAGGACAGAAGAATGCAGTAAGTTACGTATTATCTACACTAAATAAAACCTGCCCAAAGAAGGCAGGTTTCTTCCCAAACATTCAACAGTTTCAAAAGCTGCTCAGCACGGCACAGCACTAGTTGATGCCTTGCTTGTTCCGTTAATCCCCACGCACCAGCCAATCCAGCATGTAAAATCATAAAAGAAGAGTCCAAATCTAGTAGTCTAGTAATCAGTAAGTCAAGGTAAGAAGAGTAACATCCAGGTAGAAAACTCAGTAGCAAAAGAAGTCACACTCCCCTAACAATATTCTTCCCTGATTTCCTCTGCTTACTCTATTCCATTTACTAGCCCATCAAAGCTGAAAAACCCTTTACATTAGAATTGTTATTGCAGGCATTTCAGTCTTAAAGAAAATGAAAAAATACATCATAAGAACCTTATCTATCTTCTATAGAAACGTATCTATCAGTTTCAACAGGTATTGTTTAGTAAATAAAGTGTAAGAGCTCTTCTGGATAAAACAACTATTACTTTGATTCTCCATCTTCACGCTGGTGGCTCAGAACAGGTCACCTGTGAGAGACTAGTGATTAACAAGCATCCACCAAGTGGTGAATTTTAGGCCACTGGGTGGCTCAGTCAGTTAAGCATCTGACTTCGGCTCAGGTCATGACCTAAAGGTTCATGGGTTCGAGAATCCCCATCAGGCTCTGTGTGGACAGCTAAGAGCCTGAAGCCTGCTTTGGATTCTGTGTCTCCCTCTCTCTGTGCCCCTCCCCTGCTCAGACACCCTCTCCCTCTCAAAAAGAAATAAACATTGGGAAAAATTAAAAGGTAAATTTTATGATGAGTTAGAGCTCAATCATTAAAAAAAAGAAAATCCTTCCCCTACGAAAATATACTCAGTGAAATGCAAACACTACAAAACAGAACATTTCTCTTTAAAATTCAAGTTCCACAAGACAAAGTACAACATCTGGGAGATAATTCCTCCTCCTGAGGGCCTACTGAGGGCTGCTGGCTTTATTCCGGGCTGCTGTTACTGGCAGAGTTTTGAGAGGTGCTGAGGGTGGGCTAGATACACCCCTATTTTAGAAGCTCTCTCCGTTCTAAAAGTCCAAGCGCTATGTATGGTCTGAATATCTGTGTCCTCCCCCCCACCCCCTGCACTCCTATGTTGAAATCCTAATGCCCAATGTGATAAAATTATGTGGTCTTTGGGATGCCCGAAGTCAGGAAGGTGGGGCCCTCACAATGGGATTAATGCTTTCATTAAAGGGGGAAAAAAAGAAGTCCCAGAGAGCTCTCTTGCCCCTTGGGGCTGCGTCCACAAAAGTCCGCGGTTGGTGACCCAGAAGAGGGCTCTCTGTCTAGGCCGGAACCCTGACCTCAAACTCCAAGCCTGCAGACCTGCGAGTAACAAATTTCTGTGGTTTAAAAGCCACCCAGTCTGCATTGCTTTGTCATAGCAGCCCCAAGACACCAAGTAACCCTGATCACCGCCACTAAATCGATTTCTCATTTCACAAAGAAAAAACTGAACTAGATGCAAACTGGAACTATATGTTCGTTCAATGGGAGAAAACATTAGTTTTAATACAAGTAACCCCTGTCGTATACATTTTGATTCATTTCAGGGACTCCACTTTAAGGGGCATCGCTTAGCCAATGCACTTGGATATGTAGGGAATTACACTTACATGAATTATACTTAATTACACTTAAATGGGTTCTACTTAATCGTTCCTTTGGAAACCTGTATTAAATTTTCAAAAAGATCTGAGGTCAACACTGAATCCCAAGTTCTGGTCCTTGTGATGGTCAGAAACAGGCCTAAGTAGCAGCCTTCCAGAAAGGTGAATGACACTTGGGGCAAAAGCATCTTCCTCCTCTTGCTCAAGGCACCATTGAAAGTATTTTCAAAAAAAAAAAAGAGAGAGAGAGAGAAAGAAAGGAAGAAAAAAGTGATCTAGCCTGTTTTGGGGGGAGAAATAACAGATATATTTTATAAGTCATTCATTCGAGTGCTCTACCCCTAGACTCCTTCAACAGCTCTCCTGGTATTTAGTTTAAAAACACACCCACCACAAATTTCAGCTACGGCTTAACAACAAAAGAAAACAGGCTAGCCCTACTGACTTATTTCCTCACTATGAAAAAACGTGCAAATTTTATGGGTCCCACTTTGTAAATTTCAATCCAAGTGCTATTTTCAACTTTTCTCCTGCTTCTTCCAAGCCCTGTTCCCTGCTCTGATGGTGGTTATTTTATGGACCTGAATGGGCTGGAGCATGTGATCCAACAGTCCCACATAACTCTAGACCTCAGCTTAGAAAATCCATTTTTGTCTAAATAGATATCCTATGGAGGGTTATGCCTTAACAGTAACAGGCGTTTTCTAGAAGCAGCTGGTAAGGTCAATAACTTCAAAATAGGTTTCTGATTTACAAAAAAAGAAAGAAAAAACCGACCACAATGTAGGGATTTTCTTACCAACAACTTCCCCGCAGTCTTTTACATCTCCAACTCCTGGCGGTGCCACAGAGAAAGGGTCAAGAGTAAGGCTGAAACTGGCAAATATCAGGAAGAGAAGAGCCAGTCCCCCAGCATACGGGGTCACTCACAATGACCATCATTACTGACCATTGCCTAAGGATGGCTGTCCGCTGATGGCTGCCGGCCTCAGAGGCTGGAAAAGGAGCGCTAGGTGTAGCCCAAGTGGTGCTGGCGGCTTCAGAGGGAGGAGGGAGGCTCAAAAGAGAAAATGGCTGGATAAAAGCAATCTGCATGCTGAAGTATGGGGAAATAATGACCTAGTTTCAGCAGCCAAAATGGCTTGATCTAAGCTACCTACCTACCTACCTTACTAACTAAATAAGTAATAATGGTTGAATTTCCTTACTCAAAAGGAAAACATCAACCACTCATACAAATAAACACCAGCCAATGAAGCCACCCAAATCCAAACTCTGTGCTCACACACATACTTTGCAGAAGTATTTCCCCAAACTCTCTTTTTGCTTCCAAAGAGAAAATACAGTAAAAGTTTCTGAAGAAACTAACCTCGCAGAGCACTTTTACGATGTCCACTTAGACATGCCACAACACAGAACTTTAAAGAGAAGTCAACGATCTGCTGTCACTCGCAAATTGCCGGGAACATCCAGGACCCAGTCCTGGTTAAGTAATGGGAAGGACGCTGCACCTTTTCCCTTTTTTTTTTTTTTTCTTTAGATACTGACGGTTCCTAAAGTAAGCGCCTTTATATGGGACGTACAAAGTCCACGTTCTTCTAAATCAGCTCCTGAAAGCATGCCACCGCTGGCGCAGAATATACAGGAAGATTGTAAAGACCCGACTCAACTTGAAACCACAGGAAGAATGCCTACTGGCGACGACGAAAATGGCACATGACGACTATCACGTTCTAACAAAAGCTCAAGTGTATGAAGAGATTCACTACTGACACGGGAACAGAGGGAAAGCGCGACTTCTGTACCAAGCAACCCGAATAAAGGCAAACGATTGTAACACAACGAAAATTCGAAACGTGTCACTAAGGAGAAAAGCCCGAGCCCCGGTTTGAGAAAAAGGCCACACGAGTCATCCTGGTTTCCCGACACACGAATGCTAAGTGAGGAACTCTAACTTTGTGACACTCTGTGAACTTCACAGGCTTACAAACGCTACGGGTGAAAAAGATCTTTGTATTGATAGCCAACAGTTTCTGCCGGATCACACGCCTGCAATGCATCTTGGGATTCCTTCAGGACGGTTCCGTGTCACAGATACTTAAAACGTAATTACAGTCTCAATACTAGAAATTGCAGCAAGAGACGCGCTCTCGCCTCGCCCTAAGGTGAAGGGGAAACTCGAGCATTCGCCCTCCCCAGCTCCTCGGCGGTCTCAGCGCCGCCCCGACCCACTCCGGGCTCCATCTGTCCCCACTTCTAGGCCTCGTGGCACTGACCGGCCGCGCGGCCCCCTCTGCGTCCCATACGCTCCTCAGTCCCAGCGGGGAGCCGCGGTCCCCTCCCCCCGGGGGAGGAGCGGCCCCCCCCCGCGGGGGTCCCCCCGCACGCCGCCCCCGCCCCGCCCGGCCCTCCGCCGCGGCCTCCCCGCGCAGGCCGCCTCCCCGGCCCCGGGTCGCCCCACCCAGGGCTGCCCGCGCCCGGCGTCGCTGTCAGCGCCCCACGTGCCGCGGGGCCCAGCGGGGCGCGCCGCCCGAGCCCACCCCACCCGGACCCGGCCCCTTCCCCGAGGCGGGGGGCGGGAGGGAAGGCCTCCGGACTCAGGCCGGCCGCTCCCGTCCCCGCAGCCCGGCTGCACCCCGCACCTGCCCCGCGTCCCGGCCCTTTACCCGGAGGACCTCCAGCGCCGCTGCCGGCTCCGTGGTTGGGGGCGGCGGCGCCAGCTGGGGGCGGCGGCTGCTGGGCCGGGCCCCGCAGGAAGGACGGCACGAACTCGGCAGCGTGGACGTTGGGCACGAAGGGCTTGGCGTTGACGTTGAGTTGCCGGCTGAAGGCCGCGCTGAGGTGCTCACGCTGGGCCTCGGTCGCCGCCGCCGCCGGGCCGCCGGCGCCACCGCAAGGGCCCGGCCCGGGGGCTTCCATGTCCGCTTGGTCCCAGCAGTCGGGCGCCGAGTCGCTGCTGCTGCTGCTCCCGCCGCCGCCGCCGCCGCCGCCGCCGCCGCCACTGCCCGGATCCATGATCGGGGGGGCCGTGTGTGTGGTGAAGAGAGGGCGGGAAATGGAGGCGGGGGCGACGGGCCGGGCAGGAGCAGGCCGCGCTGACCCGACGAAGCGGCGAGGCAGGGGGACCGGGGGCTAGCGACACAATCCCCGGGGTCGTCGCGGCGAAGGCTCCAGTCCCAACTCCGCACTCGCGACGACAACGGCGGCACCAGCTCAACCCTCCTCGTGTGTGCGAGCGGATCTCCTCCCACCCAACCCCAACCACCTCGGACCGCCTCAGCGCCAGCCCCACGCCGGCGCGGATTGACCCCTCCCCGCCACCCGTACCTTCGCCTCGGTAGTTCTCCGCCCTGTCCGTCCCCGTTTCTGGCTATGAACCACGGCGGCAGACGGAACTACGAGTTCCGGCAGCCCCCGCGCGACCCCGCTGCGGTTTTCCCATGGGCCGACGGGAGTGGGAGTTCGGGGCTCCAGAGCAACCGGAAGCGACTCCGGCTCCCGGCAGGCAGCGCGGGGAGGCGGCGGTCCGATAGCTGCTCGGCGGCCCCACCTGTCACCGGGTGGGGGTAGGGATGAGGGCGAGTCCTTGCGTGACTCTTCAGGCGCGGGTTTGGTCCACGCCGCCCCGTGGGGCACAGGGTGCGGAGAAACGGAGAGCAGTTCTAACGCGCCAAACAAGGCTCTCAGCTCCTGGAATTCCTTCCTTCGCGTGTCACCAGTTTCTGCGTTCTCCGCCTCCCTAGGGCCCCTAACTTCTCTTCCTTCCCACCTTCCTCCTCCCCGCCCCCAGCCAGAATTTGCCCTACATTTCCAAGCGCGTCTTGCGTTTTATGTCTTCATTTGGTGGAAGAGGATAAAACCGTGAGACAGGCCAACGTAAACTGCAGTGTGCCTCGTAAAGCGCTCGGGCCCAGGCTCTGCCCGGGCAGAGGGGATTATTAAGTGGAAACTTGGAATGACTCACCGTCTGTTTGACTAGTCATTTAAAGCCTTCACCCAAACTTTTCCATCCCTCCCTCCTCCCGGCCAAGGGCTTTGAAAATCAGACAGAGGATTCCTGTATCCCAAGATGTATCCAGCTGTAGTCACCTAGTAAGGTTCTTTTGTTGTTGTTTTTTGTTTTGAGTTTTTTTTTTTTTTTTTTTTTTGCGTGGGGGGGGGGGTGCGTCCAGCTTCTTTATGCACCGTTAGGTGAAGTGGTTTTCTTCTGAATGATGGGATTTGCTCAAGTATTCCCGTAGTGCTTTATTAACTGACTCGCACTCAACGCTGACTGTGAGCGTTGAGGTAAACATGGGGGTGGGGGGAGGCAAAAAATAAATACTTAGACCCAATTACATGAAGTAGGAAAATAACGTTCTTCGGAGTACCTGTTAATTTCCTGTAATTCACCTATTGCTGATATTTTTCTCCAAGGAGTCTAGACAGCATGCAACTAACCTGCCAAAAATTACAGAGTAAAGGCACAGACACACAGAGAAGAGATGTTTCCTAACAACCTTATGTTAAAGTCCAAAATCTAGATCCAGGTATGAATTGAAATTTTAAAATATCTGTACTTTAAAGATAAAAGAGAATCCCGCCTAATGAGTCAGCTCGAAAACAAAGCTGTCAGGTACCTTTCAAAACAAATCCTATGCTAAAGTGGTTTGAAATTGTGTTTAATATTAAACTAGCAATTTTCATCAATGTTTTTTTCTTTAACTCAGAACACTCGGGATATAAAGTACTGTAAATGTCAAAAAAACAGAGACCTCCATGATAGCCAGGCTGGCTTTAAGTTTATCTTTAGATATGTGGTCCATACTCCCTGAAATCTTCGGGACATTGATTTTTTTCCATGACAGATGATATATTCCCCTGATTAATACAAAGTTCAGGTTACAGCCTAAATATAGTTCTCTGAAGACCTATTTGAATCTTTCTTAAGAGCGTCCCACTTTAGGGATTCCTAGGTGGCTCATTCAGTTAAGTGTAGGTGTCTTGATCTCCGCTCAGGTCTTGATCTCACAATTGGTTCCTGAGACCAAGCCCCACCTCAGGCTTTGCACTGACAGCACTGAGCCTGTTTGGGATTCTCTTTCTCCCTCTCTCTCTCTCTGCCCCTCACCGGTTCATACACACACTTTTCTACCCCCTCTCTTTCTCTCTCTCTCAGAATAAACTTTAAAAACAGGGAGTGTCCCACTTTAAAGTTGCTATTAAGTGCTTGCCCTCAGGTTTACTAAGACGTTATTAACAACTGATATAAAAACTCAGACCTTCCTTCATACAAGGGAGACCTGCATTGCTATTGAGTGAGATAAATATTTTTATTTTCTATTCACAACAAGACGAAAATACCGTGTGTCCAAAATAAAGTGCCTTCTCATTGGAGATTGGCACTCCCTAACCTACTCCTTAAAAAATGTCAGCACAAGCATCTGACTCAAAGAGTGAACCCAATTGACTTTCAACTGCTTTGTCACTGGATGCCATACTTCAATATGGATCAACCATAGGGCATCAGGGGATGGATCCCTCTTAGGTAGTCCTTCACACTAATTAAATTAGCGCTGTCTTTGTGCCTGTGGCTTTTTCTAGAGACAAAGACAAAACTGCTGAGACCGCAGCTTATAAAAGTAGTTGATTTCATTAACTGCCAAGTCCCTGAAGAAGACAATTATGGGAAATTCAGGAAAGAATCCACTCCATTGGTTTTCAGAAGCCTTGACCCGCCAGGGTTGAGGCACGGCTCCAAAAGGAAAGTGAGAGGCTTTTCTTGAGAATTGCTTTTGTGCTAAGATTGAACGAGTTCAGGTCAGTGTCTTCATTTTCTTTATATTCCCAATGCTCAGTATGATGCCTGGCATAGAAAACGTGCTTAACAAATGTTTCATAAACGAATCAGTGCATCACTGAGGAGTTTCAGACAATACTGCCCTTTTTATGCTCATTTAGGGCTATTGAGACCGACTCTCAGCTTTAAGAGAAAGTTTTCCCAAGAACCTCCTGCTTTTTGCTGTGATGCACACACAGGGTTAGCCTGACAAGCCCTTTGCTTCACGCCATGCTCGTTCAAGGTGTGAGCCATTCCAGGACGGAGAATTCTCATCTTCCAAAGCTAGCACCACCAGCTGGCACTTCTAAGTGTTCTCGCTCTTTCGTTCTCTGCTCTCTTCCTCTCCGCCTTTAGTTATTCTGCCTTTAAAATGAATCAGGGTTGGTCAAGCATCTGACTCTTGATCTCAGCTCCAATCATGATCCCAGGGATGTGGGATGGAGCTGAGCATGGGGCCTGCTTGGGATTCTCTCTCCCTCTCTCTCCTTCTCTCTCCCTCTCTCTCCCTCTCCCTCTCTCTCTCTCTTTCTTCTTCTTCTTCTTCTTCTTCTTCTTCTTCTTCTTCTTCTTCTTCTTCTTCTTTCTTCTCCTTCTCCTTCTCCTCCTTCTCCTTCTCCTTCTCCTTCTCCTTCTCCTTCTCCTTCTCCTTCTTCTTCTTCTTCTTCTTCTTCTTCTTTTTCTTCTTCTTCTCCTTCCCCACTCCCCTGGTCGCACTCTTTCTCTAAAATAAAAAGTAAAATGGCTTCTCCTTCCCCACTCCCCTGGTCGCACTCTTTCTCTAAAATAAAAAGTAAAATGGGGCGCCTGGGTGGCTCAGTGCATTAAGCATCAGACTCTTGATTTCCTCTGAGGTCATGATCTCACAGTTGTGAGACCAAGACCCCCTTGGGCTCTGCCTCAAGCATTGAGCCTGCTTAGGATTCCCTCTCTCCGTCTCTCTCTCTGTCCCTCTCCCTCACTCTATAAATAAATAAATAAATAAATAAANCCTTCTTCTTCTTCTTCTTCTTCTTTTTCTTCTTCTTCTCCTTCCCCACTCCCCTGGTCGCACTCTTTCTCTAAAATAAAAAGTAAAATGGGGCGCCTGGGTGGCTCAGTGCATTAAGCATCAGACTCTTGATTTCCTCTGAGGTCATGATCTCACAGTTGTGAGACCAAGACCCCCTTGGGCTCTGCCTCAAGCATTGAGCCTGCTTAGGATTCCCTCTCTCCGTCTCTCTCTCTGTCCCTCTCCCTCACTCTATAAATAAATAAATAAATAAATAAATAAACAAACAAACAAACAAACTTAAAAATAAAAACAAATGAAACGAATCAGGATCTCAGCACCTGTACCTTTTAGATTTCCACACGGCACTTTGTTTCTTTAATCTGAAAGTTTATCTTTTTATGGTTCCAGACACAGGGCTGATATGGAAACTCACGGCCATCCCAGGGTTTAACGGATGAAAATATGTGCACACATACCCAAGGGATACAGAAATGCTGAGGCATAGGAGCACATGTACCCCAATGTTCATAGCAGCACTCTCAACAATAGCTAAAACGTGGAAAGAGCCTAAGTGTCCATCAACGGACGAATGGATCAAGAAGATGTGGTTTATCTATACAATGCAATGGAATGCCATTCTCATGGCAATGAGAATGAATGAAATCTGGCCCTCGTGTAGCAACGTGGATGGACCTTGAGGGTGTTATGCTGAGCGACATAAGTCAGGCAGAGAAGGACAAATAACATATGTTTGCATGTATAGGAGGATTAGGAGGAACTTAACGGAGGACCGTGGGGGAGAAGAAGGGGGGAAATAGTGGGGGAAGGGGAGAGAGGCAAACCATGAGAGACTCGAATGCAGAGAACAAACTGAGGGCTCATGGGTGCAGGGGGGGAGGGGGAAATGGGCATGGAGGACGGCACTTGTGGAGATGAGCACTGGGTGTTATATGGAAATCAACTTGACAATAAACTATTTGTAAATAAATTAAAAAATTAAAATTAAAATTAAAAAATTAAAAAAATTAAAAAAGAAAATGTGTGCACACAGACGGACACTTGAGGGGATGTGGGCACTCCCAGAAATGCTTTTTGCAGAAATACAAACACGAGTGTAAAAACCTGTCCTTTCTGCGATTTTTGCAGTAGCTCCAAAGCAGAGACAACCTAACTGTCCTCCAACGGGGAAATTATGACTAAATGAGTGATGGTACTCTGACTGGAATGCTCTTTCCCTAGACCTTCACCTCTCCAGCTCATTGTCGTTCAGCTCCGATGTGCCCTCTCCTACCTACCCTGGCACTCCACCAACCCACATCACTCTCTACCCTCTTACCCCGCTTTCTTTTTTTCAGATGCCTTAGCACAATCTGAAATTCTTTATTGGTTCCCATGCTTCCTGCCCATGTCCTCCTTCTGGAAAACTAATTCCATGACTCTGTCTTATTTGCTATTGCCTTCCCAT